TCCTAATTCCCACTGAAATCTTAAGAGAACTCCAGACCACAAACTGGCCCAGTAAAAATTTCAAGAATCTTCAAAAGCAGAAGATGCCTAAAATAAAACTAGAACCCGTAAAAGACCTGGCTATTATCAGAGAGCTCACATAAACATTGAAAGAACCAGAGAAATAAATAAATGGTGAGAGGATCTACAGAAAGTTTAAGAATACTCCAAAACAGAATCTAGTAAAGGATCACAATCTAATAGGCATCAGGAGGCTGGAAGATCTGGCTGCCACGGGAGTGCTCACAAATACTAAGACAGTAAAGGGAACAAATAAGTGGTGGTCACGTACACAGAAAAAGAGGGAATATTCCAAGATGCAAACCCAAACTGGTAGAAAACAAAGAATATTAGGAGATGTTGGAGACAGCTGGGGAAAATACAGTCAGGAACAAGGAACAGGAATCAAAAAGCTTGTAAAAGGACCAAAGCAAGCAATATAGCTAAAATAGTTAAAGCAACAAGAACATCAGCTATCCCAAATGGAAAAGTGAACACCTCACAGTTATCAAGAAATTGCTTAAGATAGCCACAGGAAAGACAGTCTGTGGAAGACCAGTAAGAACCAAGGGACTTACAAACACTCCACAGCAAGTTGCAGACCTGGGAATTAAAAAACAGGGAACTCTGGACAGCTCTCACGAAGGTATGTAAGTCAACTGAATCTTTGACAGCAATCAAGAAGCTTCTGAGAACTTCTTCAAACAATACTGAACCCATAGGAGACCTGACAGATACCAACAGACAAAACCACAGAAAAGGGACAAGACTTGACAGTGTCAAGAACCACATGGCACTTCCCAAATGGAGAAGTGAATCTGGAGAAAATCCACAAACATTGGGAAACTCAAGAAAACTCCTAAGGTACATCTAGTAGAAGATGTAGAACATATTGCAATGCTTATAGAAACTAAGTTCTAGGGCCATCCAAATAGCTCAGTGGATTAAAACACCTGCTTAAGCAGACACAGAGACAAGAGTTCAATGCACTGAGACTGCAATTGAGACTGGGCCTGGTGACATACACCTGTAATCCCAGCACTTGGGAGGCTGTAAACAGGAGGACCACTCTGAGTCCAATCTACACAGTAAGACCCTATGCACCCTGTACTAAATACATTTTAAAAAAACCCCTAAGTTCTAAAAAGTTGTTCATAGGAAATGCTTAATACAGTTTTAGACACATCAAAAATTATAAGAAAAATAGTTGCCTAAGACAGCTATAATAAAAGATATGTAAACTACTACTCAAGAAAGCCAAGTACTAGGGAAAAAAAATAGAACAGAATTTTTATGCTCTATCAGAGTTTAAGTTTGACTTATGTTCGTTTTTTGGTGAAAAGAAACTGTAAGACTATATGTAAAACTTACTTTCTTTTGTTTTTTTTCTTTTTTTTTTTTTTTTTTTTGTACTGGGGATCAAACTCAGGACCAGGTAGGCGCTTGTGCTTGCCAGGTAGGCACTTTATTCTGCTGAGCTATCTCCCCGGCCCTTTAAAACTTTTTAAAAAATAAAGCCCTGAGCTAAGTGAGATTCATAAGTTATTTTATTGAAGCCGTCAAAAAAAAGTAGTTGAAGAGTTGAAGACTTCCTGGAAGGCAAAACCAAATAAAAGCAATGTTTGGAAGGCTCACTACAGTGTATTTGGTTCAGCAAACAAAAATAAAGATGGACCAGGAGATCCCAGACAAGAAAACTCCTCTTATAATGCTTGTGAATATGAACCTCAAACTATAGTCTATGAAACCAGAGACACATGGCCAAAGCACATGCAAGACAATCAGAAAACAAGACCTGCCTTTAAAAAAAGAACAAAAATGTTAAAAGATTTTCTTTTCAGAATCTAAGCATTGCCCTATTCAAAGAGATAACAGGCAGAAAGGAACACAGATATAAATTGAATTCCAAGAAAATGTAAGTCAGAGAATGTCTCTGTGTTTCAGACACAAACACAGAACTGATGGGAAACTACAAGCTCAATTGCTTTCCATCAATAGAAAAAGATTCAAATATATATGAAAAAATACTGCAAAGAAATTCCAAGAGAAAATCTTGGAAGATGGAGTTATGAAACGAAAGACAGCGTAACATCATGGGCAAAACCTGATAGTATGCCTAGTTCAACAGAGATTATGCACATTGAGATAGATGACAAACCAAAGAAGAATTTATATTAAAAACTAAACTCTATGAATGAGAAAGACACCTTTACAACCCAGAAAAATAAAATTAATTTGATCTGTTAACATCTTTGGTTAATATACAAGAGAAAATTCACACAAAACCAGTGTAAATCTGGACTGTTCTGATGAAACAAATGGAGCCAACAAATATAAGATAAAAACTGACAGTTCACTTTAGGTAAACTCTTAGTATAGTGTGGATTCAAGGCATTATAACTTAAAGATCTTCTGGAAGCTGCGATAAAAATAAGATAAAGTTAGAGATGACGTCTATTTCCCCCAATAAGACAGAGATACCATGTGTAAAGGATGTTGAAATGGAGCCTAGACAGAATATCCATAAACATGTAAAGGACACAACAATCTATCTGAAATCAAGTTACCTGTGTGGTTTTGAGGCTGAAGTCTTTCCTGCAACAAAAGAAGGACTTGATATTTTATCTGGTATAACACATAGAATGGGAGTAAGGGTAAGGAGAAAGCAGTAGCCATTCCTCATAGTGACAGCATAGAAACCACAAAGATGACTGAGACAAACCAAGCAGAAGGATGTCGCAGCCCATGAAGAAATATTGTGCTTGATTTTTAGAATCCAAAAGAACAAAGAAGTCTCTGTCACTACTAAAATACAAGAGTTCAATACTTTGACCTAACATAGCAGAGGATGATTCTTTGGGTAAAGACGGCAGTATTGACAATGCTTCAGGAAAATTGAGAGGAGAAAGCAGAGCAACAAAAATGTAATAGCATTTATTGTGTTTGAGATCTAGAAAAAAAATAAGATCCTCATTAGAGGGATGCAAAGATTTGACCCTTTTCCTAGAGTTACAAAGACAAGTTCGTAGTTTAAAACTAGAGAGGGGAAGTTTACAGTCTTTTGATGTCTACACAACAGAAACATACTTGGCTCAGAATGGAAAAGCTACAGGAGTCAGATACAAGCAGAAAATGAAGGAAATACTTTGGAAAATACTGATTTACTGAAAGAACAAATTCTGTCCAAAGGGTGAGGTGATAACCAGAGTGATGTTAAGTCATAGCAATGAGTAGCATTGAGATGTATTTGAGGAAGAATACCTACTGGAAATCCAAAACAGGATAAGAACAACACAATAGAAAGAATATAACAACTGGAAGATAACAAAACAATGGAGATATTTCACTATTACATTGAAGAGGGAAAAAAGTAATGCTGTTTGTTTTAAGTATTGCCCATAAAACTGCAAGTGAATTCTATAAGCAACAGCAAGTAAATAAAATTAATTTTAATATATATTTAAGTATAATGAAAATATTGATTTGCTGATATTTGTTTTTCTGGTTTTTTTTTTTTTTATTTTTTTCAGTACTAGGAACTGAATCAATTCAGGGCCTTTGCGCTGAGCTACATCCCAAACCTTCTCAAAATGTTCATTTTGAGACAGGATTTCACTATGTCACCAAAGCAAACTTTACAAAGGTAGTAGTTTTCTAGTACTAACCATATGGAAGAAAGGCTATCTTGATTTTCCATAGCTGATTGCTGAGTTATTCCTTGGTTGATAAAAATACATCCCTAATCTAGTGGTTACTAGTTTTTCACCAATAAAAAGGCACATGTAAGCCATGAACTTGGATATAAACTTATCAGATATTCTATTGATTGGTTTATGACACCCCCCTGGAGAGATGGTTGGATCTTGTTCCTCGGAACAAAACTTGACATGTTGCTTCTCTCAATCTAGAAAACCATTTAAAAAAATCAATGAAATTTTTATAAAATATGCAGAATACCATATAAATCTATCATATTTGTGTTTATAACATCAGTTCTAAATTTTTGCTTTATTAAATCCTCTTGAGAGAACCTGTATACATAAAAGTACAACATTAAGGTACTTAGCACATTGCCTTTTAAACTGCTAAGTGAGGCCATGTCCTTAATATTCCCTCTGGCCTTTACAATTGGATTTTGTTTTACTTATGTAGCATGCTTCATGCCCTTTGGTGTAATCACCAATGCCAATGTCCATGGTTAAAGCAACTCACATTTGTAGAATGTGGCAATTTAATGACCTCTTAAAATTAATTTTATCACAAGAAGATGTATCTCCTTTGCTTATGATGTTCGACACCTGTAACAAACTGCTTTTAAGCAACAAGGGGTTGCATGCGCATGTGCACACACACAGGTATAGGTATATAAACACAGGTACGTATATAAACACACTGGAAGATAACAAAACAATACAGATATTTCACTATTATGTTGAAGTTTATATACCTAGCACATAAATTTAGAAAATCAATGATATTTCTCACCTTCCAGATGGGTGACCATATTCAGGACCACTGTTTCCCTACTTAATAAGAAATCAGTGAAAATAAAGTATGCTTGGAATGTTTCAGTATTTGAATTATTTTGATAACTGAAAATCAGAAGAGGCTCTGTACTGCAGAACACGGCACTCACATGTGGGTTTCATTGAGAAACAAATTCCCTAAAGTTAATTTTCCATAGTCATCCCATTAATATTATAGGCCATAAGTGAATGTTCTTTATATATAGAGAACACTTAAATTTGCAAATATACATAGAATATTAATGATAGGTTCTGGCCCTAATATGAATTGCTGAAATCATCATGGTGATCATCTAATATGGCTGATGCACTTAAAACAAAGCCCATCTTCCCAAGACCACCTCCCGCTTCTTCTCCATCTCAGCCCAGGACATAATTTCCTTCCACCCTTCCCACCACCTCAGGGAAGACCCCTAGTCAGCCCCCTCAGGTATACCTAAACATCCCCTCCAAACTCCACCCTGGCAAAAGGTCTTAAAAACCCTGGCCTCCTTTGTTCCAGTCGAGAGAAAAGTCCTCATCCTTCCCACATTCTCTCCTGTGTCCTCAAAGAAAATAAAGCCCCTTTCTGTCCTTCCTTCTGCCTGTTTCTCTGCTGCACCAAGTACCTATCAATTAAATGTAGATAGAATCACCCTTTCATCATTAATTCAAGAAATAGAATAGCAATTTTCTATTTTAATGAACATGCAGTTCTATAAAATAGGGTTTTGCTATGTACTAACCTCTAGGTAGCATCTGTAAAACTGAACACCTAGAGGTTACCCTTAATGATTTAAAAGTATTTATGGCTAAATATTGCAGCATTATGAGCACATAGGTTGTCTCATAACATGATCTGCTAATGTATATGATCGAAACATGTTCATTCATCATTAATAGGTATATTATTTTCCCCAAAACTATGCAACAAAATTGAATAAAATTGTAAATTAATGCACTGTGAGGAAAAAAAAAATACCCATGGTAGGGTCAAACTCATTTTTCTGAGCAATGTGAATCAAAGGTGGTGGGTTGGGCAGGAAAAGCTGAAAACTTACTGCAGTTTTAAAATACAGTAGGACTTCATTGCATAGTCGGTATAAAGTGTAATTACCACCGTGTAGACAGTCCAGATTTTAGGGAGAGAACTGTTTCATAAAATAAAAGGGAAAAAAATACTTGATCCATATCATAAGTGGATTTTATATAGGATTTTGTTGTAAATTTCTCTAAGACATTCATTAATAATAACATGTAGGCTTGTCTTCATATATTGATACTTGGGTATTTTATGTTGCAGATACAGGTGAAAGGCAGTTTTAAGAACTGCCTAAAATAGTGCACTCTCAATGAATAAATCATTTAAAAGAATATGGCAGCATTCCAGTGACTGAATAGTAGGTAGTAGTATTGATAGCCACACACAACAAAAATCTAGCATATTGGAGTTATGTTGATATATTTGATTAGTCAATATAATCACATTTCATTAAGCTTGTATTATTCTCAGCTGAGTTTCAGCTGATGCTTTTGTCAAGTCACAGCTTAAAATTACTTTTAAATGACATATACTGCACTGTTACCCTCTACTTACACATCTGATGAAATTTATGCAGAGAAAGATTTTAATCTTTTCCTGTTTTAATACATTTCAAATGATTTTTCTTTAATGACAGAGTCATCAGCTGTTAGAAGTTGAAAGTAAACCATCTGCTTTTATTACAGCTCAGACATTTAAAAATTTCCCAGGGCTGTCAACCTTCTTCAGTCAGTCTTTAAAAGTTTAATCAAATCTTTTCTTCTACTATGTCAGATATTTTATGTTTCCTTGCCATTGTCCAGCTTCTCAAAACATAAGAATGAACAGTGTTCTAAAACCATCTATGAGATCCATGTGGATGATCTTTTTTGATGTAATATTTACCCTTCTCCAAACAGAGAAACCTTTTGTATCTTTGCTTTTATTTTCCTTTCACATTAATCATAAACTGTTATAACTATATGGTATTCAGTGTATATACTGTACATAGACAATACGTGTATGTACACTATACACAACACAAAGTTATATTACCTTTTGCTTAAAGAACAGGTGACAACAGTAGAACTAATATGACACTTGCTTTTTTAAGGTAGGGTGACTCAATCCTGCTGTAACACATGACTGCACAACTATGGCTTAAACAAAAGCTGTATGTCTCAAGTTCTTATGTTTTGTTCTATGTTGTGGAATGTGTTCCAAACGAAAAATGGAAGAGAAAGTGTATGATAGCATACTTCATGGAATGGCATATATGTATCGATTCTATTTTACATATAGCTATGTGATCAATGATACAAGACCAAGCCTACATACTGTATACTTATTATAAAAAGTTATATATTATACTACAGTACTAAAAATAAAATATATTCTCAAATAGTGAAAATAAGATATCCTTCATGTTTTTATGTCATTTCCTGGTTTTATCATACTTTTTTTCACTTCTAATGAAACAATGTCCAACATTTTAAACAATGATAGAATGTGTGCAATTTCCTATTAATGGCCTAAAAAAGTGATTAGACAATTATCTTGTTAATTTGTTGAAATAGCCTCCAGCTGCATTCAATACATGGGAAAATATAAAAATAAAAGACAAATAAATATATACCTCCTCAGCTACTGAAAAATCGTAAGTCCAATGTACCATATTACGAATATGGTTTTGATAGAATAGTTGCTGTATCTTAAGTACAGTAACTGTGTATCGGGTCTAGGTGCCCCTCCGCCCCACTTAATCCTACGTAAACCCCTAGCTGTAACTATTGGCTTGGCCTGGAAGGCGCCAAAGAAGTTTTTTTGGGTTCTCCTGAAGAAAGCGGCTCTATTGTATCCAAGTGCAGCTCTATCAGACCTGGAGCAGCAGTCGCCCATCACACGTCGGCCACAGTTCGTCCCAAGGGCTTCTCGTTCTCCATCCTGGGAGACTGTGACCTCTTCTGTCCTGGCCAAAGGAAAAGGGATGCAACTCCGCTGGTTTCTCAACCTTAAAGCCGCCCTTCTGCCAAAGCACCAAGGGCTCACGTGCTCTTTTAGTTTCGGGAAGCAGGCACTTAGAACACAAGAGGCGGCAAGGCAGAGAGGGCTGGATGGCCTTTGATTTGGCGGTGGGGACTCCTCCGCAGCTGCCGCCACCGCCGCATGTGCCCAGCGTTTCCTTGAACCAAATGAAACGCAGGGAAACCTCAGGTCCCGGGAAGCGCAAGAGGGCTGACCCGACCCAACCCGACCGCGGGGAGACAGGCAGTTATTTTTGGGTGCTAGGCGGAGTCGAAGGCAGACGGTGGTGGCCGTGGGCTCCCCGGCTTGTGCCTCCTTCCGTAGCCCGGTCTCGCATCATCCGCTTGGTCCCCGAGTAGCCCTGGGCGCTCAGATGAGCGGGAAGCGGCCTTCCCCGGCGTCGGCGTCCCTAGCGCCGCCACCTCGCGGGCGACCAAGCACCGACACAGGCAGCACGACCTCCCTGGGGCTGAGCTGCTGCAGCCGCATGGACTCCTCGTAGGTCGGCAGGTATTTGACCTCCTCGTAGCTGGGCAGCTGCAGGAAGACCGGAGAGACCACACGCAGCTCACGCTCCGGGGCGCAGGCGGGTGCCAAGCGTCCGCCACCGCTGCTGTCCAGCAGGGAGTCCTGCGAGCCGGCTGCCGTCTCGTCGGGCAGCAGAGCCGGCGAGTCAGCGTCGTCGTCCGGCGGCCGCGCGCCCCCAGGCGGCCCAGAGCCCCCGGGCGGCGCGGGTCGCGCCTGGCCACGCGGGTACCTGCGTGGGCTGGGGCAGATGATGCGCTGCAGGAAGTAGCCGATGGCGAAGAGCACAAGCAGGATGAGCAGCCCCGAGAGCTTGCGGACGAACCAGCCCACGTTGTCCAGGAAGGCGTGAAGAGGCAGCTTGCAGCAGCGCATGGCGGTGGCGTTGGCCGAGTCGCAGCAGCCCTCCCGCTCGCCGCACGCCAGCTCCGCGCAGCCCCCGCCGCCCCGCGAGGGCGCCACCAGCGCGAGC